ATCCTTCAGTGGCAAAAACCACGGGGATTTGCTGATACTGCTTTTGGAAAGTGAGTGTCTTGAAATGGCTAACACCAGCTTTCTTAATAGGAAAGGCATTACCTTTAAGAATCAAGCAGATGGATAGATTTCCTTGGAGTTTCTGCCAAGTAAATGGATTATTGAAAAATATTAATATCTCAACTGCCATTGTGGTGTTGTATGTTAGCAGCAGAAGTAAAAAAAATAACAATGGATTTTTCCCACTAATTTTCCATTGTTACTTTCTGTGTAAATCAACTTTAATTATTCATTTTGCTTCATGCTGGCTAATGAAAAGCTTCTAAGCTTTGGCCATTCGTGCAACTCTTGCAGCTCTCCACAAAGGAGAAAGTAAAGTTTTTAAACTGAGGTTTTACTTTGCATCGAATTTGTACAAGTTTACTGTGAAAATCACATACATGTAAATAAAACCTTAGACTGGTACAATGGAAACAACTATTCATTTCAGTTTCTAAAACATTCAGCTTCAGCATATGAATGGTCATTTTCAGTAACAAGTTAAAGATGGTCACATCTGGCAGTATAATCAGTTTTTCCTCAAAATATATCAACTTTATCAATCTGATCCTAGCAATTACCTTCAGCACTGATAAAAAATAGTTTGAAGTGATTTAATGACAGTTTGCAATCTGATTGCTCTATAAAGATCTCATACAACCTTATCAAGTTGGCCAGTTGGATTCTCGGTCCTGCTCATGTACTTCTCATTGTCTTCTCAATCTGAACAGGTTAGTGAGTCATGGAGTTTAGAGAGGAGTTTGCACTTTCTACAAAATGTCTGTGCTTCTGACTTTTGAAGTACCAGGTGGAATATAGCTGTGTCTTTTGTGTGCCTGTAGAATGAACTACTAATCTGTGGTACAATATATATTAAGCCAGCTTTCGTCTATGGTGAGGGATACACCACTAGTGTGTACAAGATGATTTTACCATGCACATGGCTAGTGAATGACACAAGGAGAAAATTCACTTCTTCTCAGGTGTTTTGAGCTTTCTAATTATACCAAGGAGAAAGTATCAGGCTGATGTTAACAAAGCACTCCAACACTTTTATCTGCATTTTTAGAAATGGAAGATGAGCCTGAGGCTCAGTCTTCAGCAGGCAACTATGTTGAGCCAGAATTTAATAATACCATATGGTTTTCACTAAATTAAAAATGTTCAGGTTACTATCTATATGGATAACAATTTTCCTAATGGCCGAGACAAAAAGAGTCCCTTAAAAACATACCCAGTTAAGTTAAAAAATAAAAGAACTAGTGTAAAACAAATCAAAACTGTACTGCCCAAGCCACCTACCAAATGGATGTCATCCCTTTATTTGATTCCCCATTGCTTTGTGAACAATATACATTAAGTATGAACTTGAAAAACAATGAGACTATTTCTGTATCTCTGTGTTATGACAGGACTGACTTGACAGTTACTGAAGGAGAACTCTTCTAGGAGAAAAATGAAGCAAGGTTTGTGAGACATGAATTAGTGAGAAGGGAAATGGGGAGAAACCTCCTCAATATAAAACCTAGCTTCAGACTCAAAGCTAAACTCAGGTTTTCTATTTCTCTTGTGAGGCTGGTTTGCAGAAGTAAATCAAAATGTGCTTTGTTTTAAATTTATCACTCTTGAATTCTTGGAAATATGTGGCAAAACTAACTTTCTAAACCATCTTTTTTTTTCTTACAATATATACAGCCTTTCATAAAAATACAAAGCTTGAAACTCCAAGAAGAGAAAGTTTTAAGCAGGGAAAATGGGCCGGTGCAGCGGCTCACTAGGCTAATCCTCCGCCTGCGGTGCCGGCACCCCAGGTTCTAGTCCCATTTGGGGCATTGGATTCTGGGTAGCAGGGTTGCTCGATTAGATGTTAAGAGCTATGCTGGGGCTGGCACTGTGGTGCAGCGGGTTAACGCCCTGGCCTGAAGTGCCAGCATTCCATATGGGTACCAGTTGTAGTCCTGGCTGCTCCTCTTCTGTTCCAGCTCTCTGCTATGGCTGGGAAAGCAGTAGAAGATGTCCCAAGTCCTTGGGCCCCTGCACCTGCATGGGAGACCCAGAAGAAGCTCCTGGCTCCTGGCTTTGGATCAGCACAGCTCTGGCTGTTGTAACCAATTGGGGAGTGAACCAATGGATGGAAGACCTCTCTCTCTGTCTCTACCTCTCTCTGTGTAACTCTTTCAAATAAATAAATAACTCTTAAAACAAAAACAAAAAAGAGCTATGCTATACATGAAAATATGTAAGACATTAAATATATTTTAAAATCCCAGCCAGATGAGAACAAATTCCTTATGCTTGCTCTGCTTTTGTTTCCTTTATTCGGGGAAGGAGACCATGCATCTGTGTTATTGGGCTGGCTAAAGAAATAACTCATGGCAGTATGAAGTACAAACCTCAAAGGCTGAAAAGGGGGAATGATCAGGCTAATTCTTCCCATGCCTAGATTACTGCCAGGCTATAGCCTAGGGACAGAGGAGGTTCATACCCCTTTCCGGGTATGGAGGATTCTCATTTTCAGTCTACCCTCTGCTTTTGATGTTTCATTCCTGGTTCTGAGTCATTGGCGAAGTTTCAGGTTCCAGTGGACTCTGTAGAACCCCAATCTGTGCATATCATGACTCTGTTCAGCATCCCAGGGAAAGGAACACTCTGCTGTCCCATCTTTGTATTTCTTACAAGAATTCATGAGTAGAAGCAGAAATAATAGTCATTTAAAATTAGGTATTACTTCTGAGCCACTTTTACAAGGGCCTGAGTTCATCTGTCCAGCTACTTACTCACTCACGAGACTAACATTCATACAGCTGTATGACGTCCTGTGGCCCACAGCATTCTGCTGTAGTTGTCACATCTTTAGAAATGGCTTCTCTTCTCCCTTGAAAAGAAAGGGGACATACACTAGATGCAACACTCCTTGCATATGAAGATTACACTATACCTACTTAGCAACCCTGTAAATGTGAGTTAATTTGTTTTATGTGACACACCAATGAGTTTCATGACTTCACTATTGCATAGAAAGTTTAACTGCTTTACATGAATTGCAAAGGTCTTGTTTCATCATTGAGGATTCAGACACAATGAGATATTTACCTGTTTATTAATTTTCTCACCGTTGAAACATACCCTAGTTCTCAGACTTCCATTCAGACATTTCTTCTGCAATGCAGTTCTCATTAGCATTCTCTCTCCCTGCTTTCATTGTTTCTGGGCGAGTTCAGACAGGCCAATATCTCAAGTCTGCCTACACTGGTTATTTATGAAGACTATTATAATTATTCCATTTTACAGATGAGGGAGCTGAGTCCCAAGAAGCAGGAAAGGTATCCCATTGCTGTTGGAGGGAAAGCCAACCAGATTCTCAATATATTGATTACTTTCGGAAAAAAAAAGTCATTAGCATCTTTGCTTCCATAGTTTCTGACCCAGTGATCTTGGTTTTGTCAGGCAGATGCCTTACATTGAATATATTTTTGTCATGCTTAGCAGTTAACTGTAGTCACATCATCCCAGGGCCATGAGAATTAAATGGATCTAAATAATAATATGTTTGATTTTTCCCACTCTTAAAGGACAGGGGACAATTGTGCAGATATGCAGAGGTAAGGAAGGTAGAACCTTTAGGCTTAGAAGGTAAATATCTCAAAGTTATTTCAAGGTCAATGACAACTGGTCTTTGAATTCTGCAAAAACTTAAAGTCAAAATTCATCAAAACGTGTTATGAGAGGAATATATTTTAATCTGATGCACTATTTAATTGCTTCCATAATCAGATTTAAATAGTATTCATAGTAATCCTCTTTCTAAATTTCTGATGGGCTAGAGAGGCACCAGGAGAAAAGTGAGATGACAGTAAGAGATCATCCTGGTGGCAGACTGGTCACTTTCTCCCAAACACAAGTGCTCATGAAACAGCATGATGTACAGTATTTGAGCACTGTAATGTAGATGCTGTTATAAAACTTCATGGAGTTGGTCAGAGAAAACTAATTTGTGGGTCTAAATTTTGGAGTGAGAGTAGAGTTTTCTTTTAAGGATTTATTTATGTATTTGAAACACAAAGTTACAAATAGAAGGGAGAGAGGGGAGAGAGAGAGAGAGAGAGAGAGAGAGAGAGATTGATTGATTGACTGGTAGATTCTCTATCTGCTGGTTCACTCCCCTAATGGCTGAAATGGCCAGGACTGGACCAGTCCAAAGCCTGGAGCCAGGAACTCCATCTGTGTCTCACATGTGGGTGGCAAGGCTCCAAGTACTTGAGCCATCTTCCACTGCCTTTCTGGGTACATTAGCAGGGAGCTGGATTAGAAGGGAGAGGAGGGGAGAAAACTGAAAGGAAGGGAAGAGGAAGGGATGGGAAGGGAAGGGGAGGGGAGGGGAGGAAAGGAGAGGGGATGGGAGGGGTGGAAAGGGAAGGGAAAAATTCCTGCCCATGTGATGATTCCATTGTGAGACTGAAGAAAGTTAATGGGAGACTTTATAAATCATGCTCGCGTTTGGGAGGTGTTGAGCAATAGGAATTTTTTTTTTTTTTTTTGACAGACGGAGTGGATAGTGAGAGAGAGAGAGAGAGACAGAGAGAAAGGTCTTCCTTTTGCCGTTGGTTCACCCTCCAATGGCCGCTGTGGCTGGCGCGCTGCGCTGATCTGATGGCAGGAGCCAGGAGCCAGGTACTTATCCTGGTCTCCCATGGGGTGCAAGGCCCAAGCACTTGGGCCATCCTCCACTGCACTCCCTGGCCATAGCAGAGAGCTGGCCTGGAAGAGGGGCAACCGGGACAGAATCCGGCGCCCCGACCAGGACTAGAACCTGGTGTGCCAGCGCCGGTAGGTGGAGGATTAGCCTATTGAGCCGCGGCGCCGGCCGAGCAATAGGAATTGTTATGGTTTGAGTTCAGGAGAAATTATCCTAGTGAAAATTACCACTGAATAATATAACTGAATATAGTCCTTCTTTACAGCATGCAAGATTTTTTCTCATAGAATGCAAGATTAATGACAGGATCATCAGTAGTCTGGGGACGTCGTGGAAGGAGATGTTCAGGAACATGACCAGAACCATGAGCGATCCTCAGGCCACTCATGTGAAGCTCAAGGATTCACCACCTGTTCCTCCTACTCCTATCAAATTCCTTGGAACTGATGCTCCTTTCAAGGATGCAATGAGGAGCAGACATCTAATCTCACTGCACACAAGAAGCGCAAAGGGGAGGGCCACTGCCAGTGATATTCAATGACTGCACTTACTACAGAGGCTGTCTACAGGCTGCTCGTGGGATTCTCACAGAACCCTGGGAGTCCTTGGGTCATTCTTGGAGGACCACTTCTCCATTGTGCTTGATTCTGGTATCTTCTGGAGAGTGAATGTCTGGGGATTAACTGGAAAGTTCCACTTGTACAGAGGCCAAAGATGGAAACTCGAGGTGAGCAACTACAGGGAAACTTCACAAAAGCCTCAGGCTAATATGCTCACATCGTACCCACTAGATTGCCGGGAAATGATTTGGGGTCAGTGCTGTTGGCTGAATGTCTATGTCCACCCCCGATTAGAATACTGAGTCCACCCCACCCCCCACTCTGTCTCTCTCTGTCTCTCTCTCTCTCTTCAAGCAAGCACCAAGGAAAGGTCCTGTGAGGACAGAGCATGAATGCGACATCTGCAGGCCAGGAAGAGAGCTCTCAACAGAACTGACTCAGCTAGCACCTTGATCTTGAACTTCCCAGACTCCAACAGTGTGAAGAAATAGACTTCTTTGAAGCCACCCAGTCTCTGTTATTTTGTTATAGCAGCCTGAGCAGACTAATACTCTCAGAATAGCGTTTTCTTCTGGACAGTGTAAAGTTGCTTTTTTATCATATGTGATATTCAGCATTCCTGCCTTATACACACACTTTATAAGAGATACTAAATCATTTTTTGGATTACTTTTCAAGAAGCCTGAAATGAGCTTGGATTTTCTATGACTTTGACTGGTAAATATTCAATAGAGAGAAAGTCTACCTTACTTTAAGTTTCCATTTTTCCCCTTAGAAAGCGTATTTACCAGTCTATATTCTCAAATTTAGTCACCACTGTAATACTCTCTGGTTGGGCACATGCATAAAACACTGACACACACACTGCACATCCTGCCCTACCATGCCATAAACTTTAGGAGTTTGCTATTCTAAGTGCCACTGGTTGAAATTCTGATTTTAGAATATAATGAAACAAACTGAGAAATCCTTAGATTTTTATTTTATCCAGGCACCCACCAAGAGATGTGAGCTTAATTTGAAAAAAGGTGCTGATATGGACTAGATTTCCATATAGCAAGATTTATTCATGAATGAGATGCCAAGAAAGAGCCAGGAGGGTACCATGTGGGATTCTGTTTTTGTTTGTTTGTTTGTTTGTTTTTTTAAGATTTATTTTATCTATTTGAAAGACAGAGTTAAAGAGAGAGGTAGAAACAGAGATAGAGGTCTTCCATCTGCTGGTTTATTCCCCATTTGGCCTCAACAGGTGGAGCTGCACCAATCCAAAGCCAGGAGCCAGGAGCTTCCTCTGGGACTCCCATGAGGGTGCAGGGGCCCAAAGACTTGGGCCATCTTCTACTGCTATCCCAGGCCATAGCAGAGAGCTGGATCAGAAGAGAGCAGCCGGGACTAGAACCGGTGCCCATATGGGATGCCGGCGCTTCAGGCCAGGTCTTTAACCCACTGTCCCACAGCGCCAGCCCCAGGATTCTGTTAAAAGAGGGTTACAAACCTACAGGCCAGCGCTGCAGCTCACTAGGCTAATCCTCTGCCTTGTGGCGCTGGCACACTGGGTTCTAGTTCCGGTCGGGGCGCCGGATTCTGTCCCGGTTGCCCCTCTTCCAGGCCAGCTCTCTGCTGTGGCCAGGGAGTGCAGTGGAGGATGGCCCAAGTGCTTGGGCCTTGCACCCGATGGGAGACCAGGATAAGTACCTGGCTCCTGCCATTGGATCAGCGCGGTGCGCCAGCCGCAGCACACCAGCCACAACGGCCATTGGAGGGTGAACCAATGGCAAAGGAAGACCTTTCTCTCTGTCTCTCTCTCTCACTGTCCACTCTGCCTGTCAAAAATAAAAAATAAAAAAAATTTACAATTCTTAAGTTCTTTATGAGATTTTCAGACTTCTGTGATAATTATTGTTATGTATATGCAAGAAAAGTTACCATCTTTTTATTTCAGAAAAACATGATTTTTATCCTTAAAGTAGATTAGGAATTAAATCATAGAGTCACAATGCAAAATCGTTTTTGTTTTTCAGGTCAGTGATGGGCTAAGTAACTTCAGTTTGTATTGAGTTTTATTCCTAGAAGTCTAAACTGTTTGAACTGCATTGACTAAGGAAGGACTAGTTTTTAGAGGTTAGTAGAAGGGAGTTGGACAATATTGCCCAGGCTTGACTCCTGACCTCACTAGTTAACTATACAGCCTTGGAGACCTTGGGCAAACTCTCTGTGGCAGTTTCCTCACCTGTAACAAGAGGGGGTGATAGGTGGGTTGTAAGGATTAAATTACTACTTGTTATAGGCAATAATGGAATGTAAGTGTTTACTATTGCTAGTAAAGTATTTCACAATGATAAATAGAGGTTCAGAAGGGAAAAAATGAGAAATACATAATGCATGGCACAACCAAGTAGAGGAGGTCTTTCTGACACATTCTGTCCCCTCCAAGAGCCATTGTTAACTTTAAATGTTATTCTATCTTCCTGATTGAGGCATTTTTCTTTAATAATACCTGAAGGCAATGTTTTTGATACTTAAAGATAATCACAAAGCTGATTAAGGAACGCTAAGAACTGAAGTAACCACCTATGCTTTTTTGCCTTCACCTTCATTATGCAGGCATCTACAGTCTTCAAAGCTGAATTTGAATATTTAACCTGCATGGGTTTAGCTATTGGGCCATTTGACCATTCTTTCCTAATTTACTACACACTTGGACTGTCATCCTTCTACCTTGTCACCTACTCCTCTTGTTCTTTCTGTTGCTTACTCTAATCCCACCTCCCAAACTCAGAGAGATTTCTTTAAAGGAATGCATGACATCCCGCCTCACCTAGTTGCTTAAGTCCAGCTCTCGTGCTGCTAACATCACGCATGCATCAGTGGAGTAATGACCATGATTTCCCGGCTGACTCCAGTGGAAATGAGCACACATGATTCTTGACTAGAGTCTCTAAATCAAGGAGGGGAACAGGGTTTTATGGTAGGATGCGCTGGTTTGAAGACACCGGTCTGCTCTTACTGCCTGAGATCACAGACTAGCAGAAGAGAGAGCCAAATATCTTAGACCTGCACTGGTGACCTAGATGTAAGTTCCAGCACCTGTTAAATACCCCTGAGCGCTTCCAGCCCCTACTGAGTCCCTAACGAGAATCCTCATTGATCCTTGAAAACAGATGGTAAGGAGAAAAAAGAGCTTGCTGGAGACCAAGGGTGAACTGGAGACCTTCAGAAAATCACTAGGATCCTGGCCAAGCCTGCTCAGTGAGACCTTCTTTACAGAATCCTTACTTTGTCAGAATAACTTCCCAGATGATGCTTTGTTCAGAAACTGCTTGTTCAGCAGAAACTGGCTTGTTCACAAAAACTCAAGGAAAAGGGGAGGGGTGGGCTGGAGATATCAATTTTCTATCCACTGATTCACTCCACAAATGTCTGCAGTAGCTGAGGCTGTACCAGAGTGAAGCCTGCAGCCAAGAACTTCAGCTGGTCTCCAACATGAGTGGCAGGAATCCAAGTACTTAGGCCATCACCTGCTGCCTCCCAGACACATTAACAGGAAGTTGGACCAGAAGCAGATCCGATGGGACTCAAGCCAGCGCTCTGATACGGAATGCAGGCATCCCAAGTGGTGGCTTAACCCACTGTGCCACAACACCCACCCCGAGAAAGTGGTTTGGATAATAAATGGAAGAAGGGCCAAGATGGTGATTAATCCTTACTTTCATCCTTTCCTTTATCCTTTCTCACTGAAACGTAAGCAAAATGACATAGAGAGTTTAATGTGCTGTGTGGTGGGAAGAGCTCACACTGTCTTGGGATCAAGAAGTACATTCAAGGTTTCTCACCTAGAAAAGTCATTTGTCTCTCTGGATTTTGACATCTACTCACAAGAGGGGGTAATAGCATCTATGTTATAGAAATGTAAACATTAAACAAAATCTTTGTATGCTTAGAAATGTTGGGTACTACCTTCTTATTTTAGTAGCAATAAATAATTCTGATGCTATGGATCTGAATAATTAAAGTACCAAAACATTGTTTTCTATTAAGCCAGAATGATTATTTCTTGACTTTTTCTTTTCTTTTTTTTCCCAGAAATTCATATCCTGTATGTCTTCTAGGCTGCAGCATGTGGTGCAGAAAGAGCTCAGACACTCAAATTTGAGAAATCTAAATTGAAACTCTGGCTAAGATATTCTGGGTTCATTTAAGAGTTAGTGCTCTGACCCTCTGTTTTCCTCTCTGTATTATGGGTCTAGCAGCAACCATTTTGCATAGCACTAATGATCCTTTATGGAGGGGTTTAACATAGTGAAGGGGTACAATAAACACATCGCACTATAAGAGACTTGGGGGAATTTGGTCTGCCTTCATGGTATCACCCATAATCCAGGTGTGTCTGTGTTCTCAATTTCTTTCTTTTATTTAAGATTTATTTATGGGGCCAGCACTATGGCATAGTAGGCTAAGAATCCGCCTACAGCGCTGGCATCCCATATCGTGTTAGTTCATGTCCTGGCTTCTCCTCTTCTGATTCAGCTCTCTGCTAATGGCCTGGGAAAGTGGCACCCACATGGGAGACCTGGAAGAAGCCCCTGACTCCTGCTTCAGATCAGCCCAGTTCCAGCTAGTTGTGGCCTTTTGGAAAGTGAACCAGTGAATGGAAGATGTCTCTCTCTGTAACTCTACCTCTCAAACAATAAATAAATAAAGTATTAAAAAGGATGTATTTACTTATTTATTTGAAAGTTACAGATAGAGAGAGAGAAGGGGATACACACACACACACACATGCAAGTAGCAGAAAACCAAATTAACATGGTTTAGCAGGATAGAATTTTGTTTTCTTACCATGTATGGAGAAATCTGAGGATGGATCATCCATGCTAAAGAAATAGGAAGGATGCAGAAATCATGAATCTCTCACCTTGTAAGGTGTTTTCAGGAGCCCCATTCAGAAACATCAGTTTCAATCTTGCTGACCAGACACATCACATGGCTTTCTAGGAACAAACAGAGCTATCTTGTGGTTTAGAACATAAAGCTTGGAATAAGACAAAAAACTGCTGCCAGAGAGACAGAAAGTTTTGCAAGAGTATCAAGAATATGAATTTTTCCAGTCTCTGTAACAGAGAAAGGCAAGGCAGAAAAGAACTGTCAGTGCACTTGAGGAAATGATGAGCTCGTCCCATCCAGTGTTGAACATAGGAAGCTGCGTCTCTTACCTGGCTGTGTTTGATAGCACCAAGGAGCTCTGCTTTGATCACCACCTGCCTGGGAGACTGAATGTGAGTTTCTTGGTCTCTACAGCAGAGATAATTGCAAGACTTATTTTATAGAGTTTTTGTGTCTATTTGATGGGCTAGTGAATGGAAAGTGCTCAACACAATGCCTGGCACACAATAAACTTTAATAAATATATGAGTAACCATAAAAATAGGTCAATAATCATGGACATTATTATTAGCCATAAAACTCATTCTCCAGGGCTGGCACTGTGGCATAGCAGGTAAAGCTGCCACCTGCAGTGCTGGCATCCCATATGGGCACCAGTTCAAGTCCTGGCTGCTCCACTTCCAATCCAGCTCTCTGCAATTGCCTGGGAAAGCAGTAAAAGATGGCCCAAAGTCCTTGGGCCCCTGCAGTTGCGTGGGAGACCTGGAAGAAGCTCCTGGCTCCTGGCTCCTGGCTTCAAATTGGCCCAGCTCCAGTCGTTGCAGCCATATGGGGGAGTGAACCAGCAGATGAAAGATCTCTCTCTCTCTCTTTCTCTCTGCCTCTGCCTCTCTGTAACTCTGCCTTTCAAATAAAAAAATAAATCTTAAAAAACAAACAAACAAACCTCATTCACCTCCTTGACTACAGTGAGACTTTTTACTTTATCTGCATATTGCTTTTACTTTTTGAAAATGATTTTTTCCCTAGGAATATCCACCTCAAGCTGTGAATGTGTTCTCTGAGAAGGTGTCTGTGACACTTGACCGCACTGGAAGCCAATGCAGGTTCTGGGGGAAGGTTGCACAGCAGGTGCATGTGGGCACGCCCATCCCTAAGCTCCTGGATGCAGAGCTGATCTCTGAGGCTAAATGGAGGCCTTAGAGGTACCATGGCAATTAAGGCAAGGTCTTAATTGTTGAAACTCGTGAATAATGACATCTTTATTCATGTGAAAATTCAAGATGAATTTCAACAGTATGTATTGTTTATGTTCATCAGAAATATTGTCTTTAGGAAGTCTGGTTTCAATGAACTGGCTATGTAATAGATATTAAATAAACATGATATTTCACATGTTCATAATATTTGGTTTCTTATTGTGATTTTGATGAACTACACTTTCAAGCATTGTCAGTTCATCCCTATTTACAAAGAAACACTTGCTTATAGCAGAGTGAGGGAGCGACTTGTTTTATTTTAAGATAAGTCAACTTTTCAATGTTTAATATGAAACTGACTCAAAAATGTTCTTTTAGACCACATTTACATTTCTGTCTGTATAACATGCATTGTACTGGTTAACAGAATAGTGTGAGCTGTATAAACCAGACACATTCTAATTCTGTTTTTAGAGGGGTTTCCTTTCCAGATAAATAATTTATAGTGTATTAATAGAACTAAGGAGCTCATATTAAAAGGTATATTGTATGACCTGTTGAAATTGATCAATGAAAATTGATTCTCTTAAAAGTAATTTTGTAAAATTGTTTTGTATAAGATTGGCTTTCTCCTATGAATTCTTGATAACAAATATAAAACAAGAAGAAGCTGAAAGTCCTTCATCCTTTTTCACACTGAACGGAAAAATTTAAATACGTTTTAACTTCATGATTTGGGGAGTGAACTAGCCATTAGGAGCTCTCTTTTTCTCTCTGCCTCTCAAATAAATAAAATAGAAATAATCAGAAAGCTTTTCTACAACAGATACACATGGTATTCCATGACCAAACATGGCTGTCACGTGGGCATGTGTCCAACACGTGGTCCTGGAGGGAGGCCTGAGGAAGAGGGTCAGCTGCCCTGCAGGTTCTGAGCAGGTTTCAGGGAAGCGGATGGTGATGTCTTCGTCCCAAGGTCTGCCTCTGGGTTTTGAAGATTGGGTAGGGGTGCAAACAAGAGAAAGAGAGAAGAGGAATTAAGGAAATCTAAAACCTAGAGATAAAGGAATGGAGGGTGTTGACAGGCGTTTTAGACAACGCTTCAGAGCATCCCAGCACCAGTGTGCAAGGGCCCCCAGGATTATTTAAGTGGGTGAAACTGTAGATGCGATCTTAAAAAGTGCTTTTCCTTCCTGTCTCTCAGCCTGGGTTACTTCTGTGGGGGAGTAACCTCACCCATTCCTAGGATTCCTTCCTTTTGACTAGTTTCATTTTTCAGACAGTGACCTTTCCCTGACCTCAGCCCCAAACTCCAGGTCACCTTGCTGTGGCCCTGGTGCAGCTCTGAATAGAGGGTTTGCCAGATTGTTGGCACCAGATAAGTGGCACTGAGCACAATCGTGCTCTTTCATGAGCAGGAGGGAAGTTTCCTCTCCTAGGGTTCAGAGAGCCGGGTTGACTTCTGCCGCCTTTTCATTCTGTGGCCCAGTTAATTTCCCTCTGGCCAGATCTACAGGCTGGGTGCCTTGCAGGAAGGTGACACGCACCAGTGATGCAAAGAGGGAGAATCTGGCCACAGCACAGACTTCAGTGCTCCTGCAAAGCAGATTCACTTTGCGTTGAAATAGGTCAATTAGTTGCCCCAAATAATTAGCACGTTTAATAGCTTAGACTTCATCCCAGTTATTTTAAAATTTCTTTGTTGTTATTTAATGGCACTCTTCATTTCTGAGTACTGACTGTGCCAGTTTTCCAGGCTACCTCCAAATTACCTTGGGGAAGAACTCCTTTCACTTCAACTATGAGAGCAATCAGTATCTCCCAAGTTTTCAAATAGAACAACAACAAAAATCCCTCATTTTTGATTCTACTCTAGTCAAGTAGGCCTCTACCTTGTCACCTGGCCTCTGGGTTGAGATGCTGTAGCTCTGGCCCTGCCAGCAGGATGGTTGTTTCATTTTTTTCAATTTTTAAGTTTAATTTTCCTGATTTTTAAAAATTTTGTTATACAAATTTCATGTATATCATATCTTCAGATCCCCCCTCCCCCCCACCCAAACTCCCACCCTTCTTCTTTCTCCAATGTCTGAGGTTGGTCTGCTTCCTTTTCAGTAGGACACCTGCTAAATGGGTTCTAACGCTGAGGTTCCAGGCATGCAGGGTCTTGGTCCGTTCAGGCTACTGTAACAAAGTAGTCCTGCCTGGACAATTTGTAAGCAACAGCAATTTATTTCTCATAGTACTGGAGGCTGGAAGATCTGAGATCAAGGTGCCAGCATATGCTGTCTAGTGGGGGCTTTCTACTTCATGAACAGTGACTTCTGTCTTCTTCCAGTCTTGTTTATAAGGATGCTAAGGCTGCTGACGACCTCATTGCCTCCTACAGGCACTGCCTCTCATCAATACTATTGCACTGTGATTAGTTGTGGGGTAACACAAACATTCAGACCACATCATGGGAAAATGGGAAACTTGCATGTAGCACTGAAGTGTGTGACCAGTGTAGCAGTCTCTTTTGAATAAATCAATATGGCAATATCAACAGTTTCCAAGGCCACCACTCTATGGTCTGCATTTGTTCCCATTCTAAGGATGTCTGTGCTATAGAAGACCAAACGAGAAGGAAAAGAGGAAGAATCTCATTCATTATTGGGATACATTACAACTTTTTGACAGTTCTTGGAAAAATAGTGCTTCAAATTACCTTTCAAAAGAACAGACTTAAGTTTGGCCATTTATTTAGGCCCACAGTGGCAGGGGAAGGTGGAAATTTTTAACCCCATGAACGTCTCCACCATATTAGGTGACACCATATCAAATGGCCTTGTGGTTCTACGTGGTGTGGCCATGGCTCTGAAGAAGGCAACCATCAACCATCAGTCGGCTTCAGCTGCTATGGACACGTTGTTCCCTGTGTGCTCTAAAGCAATCAAATGATCCTGCAAACGTTCTTC